TCGTCACGTGACCGTGGCGATTTTATGATCTGTTGGAGTGTAGGTGGTTTACCTTGTCGTGTTGGCAGATCAAATTGTTTAATCAGTTCTCGATGGGTAAGTGCGACACCCATGATTAGTAGTCGGGCCATTTCATCATCCGTAATGTTGTGGTCAGTACCCATACTCTGCAAATGCTGTCGCAAGCTTGCCATCTGCTTCGAGTATTCCAACATAGATTCCCCACGGCGATGCGAGTTCTGATAAAGTTGCCGCCAAAACAGTACGGCATAGGAAAAGTCACGCTGAGTCTTGTCAGCCACCAGCGACGCCCACATCTCAGCTTCTTTTGCCTTTGAAAAACTTTCGTTGCATCGTCATTTTGACATCCTCGTGACCCACTTAAAATATAAGCCCGCGCAAACCGGTCTCTATCGTCAAACTGACTCTGTAGTGCTCGGTCCCAGGCCTGTCGCATCTCCATCCCATTTACGACACCCCAGATTTGACTCCCGCCAAGGTATAGCTCCAGTTCAGCTCATTACAGCTTGAATGATCCCTCGAAACGCGAACGCTTGTTGTTTCCTCGCATGCGTCGATTTTGTGGCACCATTATGCCTGCAGATGCTGCACCAGCATTAGGAGCAATTCCGACGCCAGTTTCGCTCATAAAATTCAATTATTTGTTGGTCTGACTTAACAATTGCTTGCTTCAGCCAACGGCTTTGGGCTCATAACCTAACAGCTTCGGCGCTCTTTAGGTAGCAAGCGTAGCGAAGCACAGATTGTTACTATCACAATTAGGAGAGGAACAAGTTGTTGATGTGTATCGAATTCCAATTTGTATTCGTTGCCAGTCATTCACAACATGCAATCAACGTGCTCGTAGCACGAGGAGGAACGTTTACACGAAAAAAACCTTGAACCGTCTTAACTCTTGCCGACCCCATCAATCCCAATCAATCAATCAATCATGTGACATGTTGCACAATACCTGGAGCCGCAGGTCATTGCCAGTCTCTTCGTTCAAGACCACGCCGTTAGACTGTAACGTGAGCTTCCCTTGTCCAGAATGTTTCTAGGAAATTGCTCACAGGGTTAAAACTTACCGGCTCGCGCTCGACAATTCTTTGGACCGTCTCGTCTATTGGCTTACTGGCTCGCCGCTAGCGAGTCTAAAAGAGGTGCCGTCTATTGAGTTTGGCTCGCCGTGCGATTAGAATATAAAACGGTGCCGCCTGTTGGGTCACTAGCTCGCCGTGCGATCAGACGATAAAGCGGTGCCGCCTATTGGATCACCGGCTCGCCGTGCGACGAGACTTGAAGCGGTTCCGTCTACTGGGTCGCCGGCTTGCCGTGCGACGAGACTGATATTTTGCTGGAAGCGAGTAATGGTCACCTCAAGCCAACTCAACTCTTGGCGCTTCCAATCGAGACCTCTACAAGCTAGACTCCTCGGGCTCGACAGCAGGCATAATTCAACCCACACAGGGACTTATCTCAAATGTGTACACGTGTCTTGGACTTGGAAAATTACACTCTGTATTGATTATCTCGTCTTCTTTCCCTGATTGCAAAAGGACTCTTGCGTGGTTCTCCTTCATCCCCTCGTCGTCCTATACTAATACCTAGTGGGATTGACGATTCATCTTTTTTCTCTCTCGTCGCATCTTCCCTCGTCGAGTCGCGATTCGCCGACTTTGATGTGCTCCGGCTTCTCTTGTCGAAGTCATAGCTCCTAAAAAGAAGTCAAAAGTAGGTAACACCACGCTCGTAAATTCCCTACACCACAGTAGAGTGACTCGCATTTCTTGCACACGTAGATTTTAATTGAAAATTGTCACATAGCGTGTTTACTTTGATCGCGCACATCTCTTGCTACTTAAATGTATATTCGGCCAGTAAACTGCTAAAAGTTCGAAATTTTGGCAAATGATACACCATCATTTTCTTTGTTGAATGTAGAAGACGCAGCGACGAAGCCCGCGTAAGGCGAACGCGTAAAGCAACATCGACACGCTTATGCCGATGTAAGTATGTACTGCCTACGCTTATGACAGTGTAGATATAGTGCACAATATTTTCTATTGCATTTACGTGCAAAGGTAGCGCAATTAAGATAATGCATCTAGGCTTATAGAACGGGTATATAAATCTGGATCTTTTGTAGTAAATGCCACGTATGTACGTTTGTATTCTTACTCTGTCTATCTCAATGACAAAGATGTATGTCAACTTCTTGCACATTACTACTTCTTCTTCCGTGGGCTACCATACATTCGTGGCTATCTTGGTTGATTTGATTGCCTGTAAAGCGATCGAGTAGTGACTTGTAAAACACTACTAAAAATACTTGTACATACAATATTTCCATATGCTACCCGCTTACAGAATATTGTATTCGAATTTACTACTAGTTTATGCTAGAAATTATGTAATGTAGATACTTTTCATAATGAATTTATACGTAAGTAGACAATCGGCGACCTGACGCCGGCGAAATGAAGTCAGCCATCACGCTTTCTGGTTTATAGTTAAAAGATCGAGCTTTGATTCATTAAGTGTATGTAAAAGGAATCAGGATACGAACAGAGATCCACTTAGATGGCTCGGTGATTCAGCAAACGAGATAAATCATTACATTATAGAATGTGTTAAGTCCAAGAGACGCGTACGTCTGAGATAAGTTCGTGCGTGGGAGAGCTAGATTATGCCTGTTGTCGACCCACAAGAGGCATAGCCTGTAGATGTGTCGACTTATAACGCTAAGGAATAAGATTAGCCCGGGTTGGGCAACGCTCGCTATTAGCGAAAGTGTAACGGGGCACTGTTGACTACGTACTGGTTGACCAGTACGGAGTATACTTCCACTGACGACATTGGTCGACAGTGCCCTGCTAGATGCTTAAAGAAAACACAGAGGAAGGAGAGGAGACTAAGTAGTCAGACTAGTCTCTTGGTAAAAGTAAAACTGTATTAATATATTTAAGTGCTATAACTCCTTGAATCTCTGTTGTCCTAACTTAATTATACTAATATAACTATATGTATGATGACGTCTACTCACCACCCATTGCGCGCGTCTAGCAGCGATTGGTGGGTTGATATCTTCACGATATCAACCAATGAGTAGACCCTTCGGTCATCCCAACAATATCACCATGTCTTGTGATATTGTTAAAAGAATATTCAACGTAATATTCTTTATTGTCAAATTGTTTTAATGACAATTTCATGTAACGGGCTACCCCGTTACAAAGAAAGCCCTCGTCGACGACGAGCCAGTACATATAGCTTAAAGAGACCTGGAAAGCGTTGTCGACAACTACCTGATGAGCCTAGATCGATTGCGCCGCAAAAGACTTGTCTAAGTGACGAGACGGTCAGCCTCAGCCGAGGGCATTGTGATTCTTTCAGTCGAGTGTGCACTGCGCTCGGCGACCTGTAAAAACGCGTAAAGCGTCAGCTTCCGCCCTTTGGTGTAGTGGCACAGGTGGTGAAAGGTTTGGAAGCTGCTGAGCTCAGTAACGCTTGTAACGGATTGGGCCACAAAAAATCAGTTAGGCGAAAGCCACAAATGGACCCGAAGGGGCGACCGAGAAGGAATAGTATAGTATCCCAATGCAACAGCCCGACTCGTCGACGAAACTCGTCGTTTTGATGTGCTGATTCAATGATGTGTCGTAGACAATTTTGACCAGTTGCTATGCAATGTTACCCGCGGGACCTTATGCAGCGCAAAATGAAAAGTGAGTTACCATCTGAGCGATGTATTATGTCCTTCTGAATGTAGCTACATTCAAAGTAGTTGAGATGTATATTGAACAGCTTCATGAACCACATCCTGGAGCTCACACAACTGCAGCGTTGGTGCTACAATGTTCCTTCGATCGATGGTTGAGCTTCTTGCGATAGTTGAACGATCATTCTTCCATTTGCATGTTCCATCGCAAGCGTGCGATAGCGTTGTCAAACGTAAGACGTCTTTACTATCGATAATCCCGATGTTTACATCGTACTTGTAGTCAGTATGATGAAACGGTTTCACTCCGTTAAAAAAGGGTGAAACCGAACAAGCTTACCCTTCGTTTATGGAGATGCAGGTCGATATGATGTCTGTGCTCGTGGAGCGCAATATTAAAATGTCGTATCACATTCTAATTAAAAATGTCGGTGCACTTTTGTTTTATGTAGAAGAGAACCCGTTCTGTCTGCTTCCTTCGGGGTCGTGTCAGTGGTGATATCACAAGAGTTATAGCAATCATTTCTTACCACTTAACAAAGACCTCATCTTACAGCTGAATGAACAGAAGAAGAGCTGCAGTTTACGTTACATACCTAACTTGAGACAACGCATTGCAATATCCACGGTCGATGCACTGTCAGCTTATGAACAAAGACGTCGTCTCCATCTTGACTGGCTGCTGGAATTGGTCGAGCGACAAACGTGTTTCAAAAGCACCAGTAGTCGAATCTGTGCTGATCGTCGCAAACTGATAGGAAGAAGCTTGTGTCTCCGACATTCGCACTGGCGGTAAGGACTCAGCCGATCAAACGTTGTTTGTTGTGCTTTGACTTGCCAATCATTTTGGTTCCGATCACCATTTTGTCTATGCTGCCAACGCGATGAGAGTGTGCCGAGCTCCACATATTGTCAAAACATGGCCTTGCGGAGTATACACGGAACGCAACGAACGAGCGCGCAAGCACCAATCTTACCCTTTACCACTCATCGAGAGCATCCGCGAAAAGTTCCTGACCCTGCACCGCTGTACCGCTCATCATACCATCGACCGCTTGTATAACACTGCTACTGCATCGTCAACGAAACGTCAACACACAAACGTCATCTTTTTTGTTTTGATCGCCAAACCCATCCGTTCCATTGCCCGACCCATTGACAACAAAGCCACTTTCCATCCCAAAACGACAGTCGACATTCCGCGACAACAGATCACAAAGAAAGCGTGCAGCTACTGAGCCATTCAAAAAGCCAGCGTCGAGTAAATTACGGTGCAATATTAGTGGATCAGAGGTTTCAAAGGCGCCGCGCGCGTCTGATCGTCGATCACTTCTTCCCGAATGCTGTCTGGCACCCCTCCGATCAACGATCTGCCGAGTCAACACCAACGATATCGTCCGTGTGAGTTCACCAGTCCATCATGGCAGACACCCTTGCAACTAGTGCGTAAAAGCACCACGTACATGTTATCGCCGCGCACAATGTACAGTCCGAGCTCGACGGCCTCCACTGGCTCCTTGAGCGAGAACACGCGCTCGAAACTATCGTATAAGATCACGTTCACACACTGATCAAAGCCCTTGAGCACTCCCTGCAGTAACAAACAGGTCGTGTATACACGCAGCGCACTTAGTAGAGCAGCAGTTGGTCCACACAACAAGTCGAAACGCGCTCTGTGACGTACGATAATGTTGCGGCCATCGTTCGTGATCACCGAAATCGTCTCTGCAGGTCACACGAAGCAGTCCCATAAGATACAATACATACGGATCCATCGAAAAAGTCGGTACACGCGATCGTAGCCACTTCATGCAGCCCGCGACGCCACTTACGGCCCATCAGCTCCTGCAAATACGCCGCCATCTCGTTCGCTTTTCAGGATGGGCACAAACGACGAGCTCAAGTCTTTTGTGTGTGTGTACGGTTGAGGTGCACCACATCCGACCACACCACATTCCCACGCGCATATTTCCAGCCAATCCTCGCGCAGGAGGACATCATGGGCGGCCAAACGTCGCGCATGCTGCGCTCGATCGCCGAGGACTCGACGTACATCATCCGACAGACGAACCACACGACGTACCAGCGCAGTCGTGTGGCGCATGAAGAAGTGCAGTCGAAGCTCGAGGACCTCCGCCGTCTCAAGCACGAGATGCTGCAGTCGGCCGAGCGCGACGCGCAGCGCTCCCACGTCTTTGAGTCGTTTCAACACTCAGTTGGGAAGCACAAACAGGCGCTCGATGAGCAGGTACGAACCACTGCAATCGTTGCTGCTCCTTCTGCGATCCCAGTGCTGCGGTGGTACATTGACGGTGTCTTCGTGCGCTTGTGGGTGCACTAGACGGAAGGATTTGTCAAGCAGTTTGAGCTGCCTGAGAGCTGCCGCAAGATCGCAGATCTCCATCGCCGGGACGTGCAGGAAGCCAGGGAAAAGGCAGACAAGGACGCCTCTTATGGGGTCCTGCACAAGACGGAAGATTGAGTGGACATCAGCTGCCGATAGTCGCTATGACGTACAAGAAACTGACAATGGGCAAGGATTGTTTAGACTACACTCAGAACTACTTGCGCTGCTCTCTCTACACTACCCACTGGCTTTGCAGTGCTGCACAATCCACGGATGCGTCAGCACGCGCTCTAACGGCATGCGCTGCCGCGGATCGTGGCGCAGAATTTTTATCAGCAGGTCTCGAGCCTCCGAGGACACAAAGCTCGGGAATTTGAGGTCCACGTGCGCGATGCGGCGGTACGTCTCCTTTGCGTTCTCGGTCTCAAACGGAGGCGCGCCAGTCAGAAACTCGTACATGAGGATGCCGAGTGTCCACACGTCCACATTCTCGTCGTGGGGTTTGTTCTCGATCATCTCAGGCGGCAGGTAGTCTAACGTGCCGCAAAGCGTCGTACGTCGTGAGGACGGCGCGTGCACGGACCAGCCAAAATCTGCAATCTTGAGCTCTCCATGGAAGCCAACGAGCAAGTTCTCTGGCTTGATATCGCGGTGGATCACGTGCTTGCTGTGCATGTAAACCAGCGCACGTGCCATCTCCTGGATATACAGTGCCGACTGTCGTTCCGAGAAGCGTCCCGATCGCTGCAGCTTCTTGTAGAGCTCTCCCTGTGGCGCGTACTCAATGATGAGGTAGACCCGCTTGCTGTCGTAAAAGTAGCCGTACAACCTCAGTATAGATTTGTGGCGCAAGTGGGACTGGATCTCAATCTCACGACGCAGTTGATGCTCCATGCTCGACTTGATCAGCTGCTGCTTGTTCAATACCTTGAGCGCCACCACGTACTTGGACCTTTTCTCGCGGGCCAAGTACACGTTGCCGAACTTGCCTTTCCCAAGCGGTTTGCCAATCTCAAAGTCGCTGAGCTTCCACGTCTTCTTCGACTGCGACGACGACGTCGATAACGTCGTGGTCGAAGCAGATGGCCCTGCGCCTCCGTCCGTTGTCTTTGTGTCCTTGTTCGCAGTCGCCACTGCTCGCGGCACTCCATTTCTCTCCGTCTTGGCGCTCCCGCTCACGAGATTCGACCTCTTGGTCGCAGGACCTCCAGCGACTGCGGCCTTGTAGGAACCGGCACCGGTGCCAGAAGTATACGCACTTCCGTGCAGCGACGACGTGTCCCCGGGAGGTCGTCCAGCTGCCGCAGGTCGTTCACCGCCTGTTTTCAGCGCGTACCGCGACGTGTCCGTATCGTGATACGATCGTTTCATCGACGAAGGGGCTGCTGTCCCGCGCTTGAGGTGGCGAGCGGCCTGGAGGGCGCGTTGGGGGTGACTGGAGACGGCGACGGCGACGCGGTTTTCCTTGTCGGCATCAAAGTGTCGTCGCATATGAGTGGGGTCTGAGCGAGAAAGCGAGAGATCGAGAGAGAGAGAGGGGGCGAGCGAGCGAGCGCGCGACGCGCAGAGTGATGGACGGGAGAGCGATCGTCGCCACAAGCTCAACGTCGTGCCAAGTCCGGCGGCTTTCTAGTGTATACACCGACGATGGCGTGGTAAACTACACACGTCGGCTGTAAATTACGCGCGACGCAGGCAAGGGCGATAGCGACTGTTTTCCGATGACCTATCGAACAGCATGCGCAGACGAAACACAACCACTAACTCGTGTGGGGTGTCTTTTTTGTCAACCACACCAATTCGTACTCGCGACAAAGCGCTTTGCTACCCTGCACGATTTCAAAATAAAAAAAGTGTTTTTGCGCCTCATGAGCTCGCGCAGCGCGCAAAACTGCGTGCACGAGGGCAACGACTCGCTGGTGGAAGATCTGCTGGCACTCAAACAGCGCGTCCGCGAGTCGTCGCATCTGTCGTCGAACTACGGGCGCGCCATCGCCTCGATCCGCGCCCACCCGACGCCTCTTCGCAGCGCTAGCGAGGCCAGGCGGCTGAAAAACATTGGCAACTATTTGTCCAATCAGATCCACTGTATCTTGCAAAAAAGAGGTCTTGTGGACGAGACTCGGCCGCTCGTGTCGACCACATCACTTCCGGCGACCTTGCCCCTCAATGCGGCCGCAATACGAACAGTGGACCGTATACCGAGGGACTATCTCCCGGTACACCGCAAGCGTAAGGCAAAAAGCGTGGATACTTATCGATGGACACATGGCGCTAACAAACAGCATATGACCATTTACACATAGAGCCGTGGTATGCGCTCCTGGCGCTGTTGGAGGCCCGAGCAGTGGACGCAGAGGCTGCCGTGCCATTGTCTGCGTTGCTGCGGCGCATGCGACACGCTGGGGTAAGGTGCACATGCAAAGAGGACGTCGTGCTGCTAAAGCCAGGTGTTCATTGGGCAATGTGTCGGCCTGTTGGTAGTATACAGGCGACAGCGACAAGTTGCGCGCGTGCCTCACGTCGCTCCATGGCACGCACGACGTGGTGAAGAGGTCGGACTTGGGGTTTTACTTTTTGACAGAGAAGGGTCAGCGAAGTGCCGAGCTGTGTCGTCCTGAATCGCTGACTGGATCGTCTACGAGTGTTGCGGCTAGAGCAGCAGTTTCAGATACCAATGTCTCAGCTACCGTTACGGGAAAGCAGACTTTGGCAGGTGGAGATACTCGTCTGTGCTCGGGGGATTCGGACTTGACGTGTATCGAAGTGGACGACTCGGGCGACAGTGCCCTGAGCGAAGAGATAGCGGAACCAGATCCTGAGCCGATGGAGAAGAATTGCACTGCTCTGAAAGATCTGATTCGAGAGACAGACACGTGGGAGCTGGTGCTGCTGCTAGATCATCGCGAGATCATTGAACGACGCAATCCGCACATTCTAGAGCGAAAGCTGCTCGAGCGGAATGTAAGTTGCGAAGTCCGTGCGCTCGGCGTTGGTGATGTCCAGTGGATAGCTCGCCGACATCGTGTCGGTGTAGACACACAGGAATTCATGATGAATGTTATTGTCGAGCGGAAGGAAGTGCATGACCTATCGAGCAGTATTATCGACCGTCGCTTCGTCGAACAAAAGCTGCGCCTGGCAACCGTGCGTGAACACTGCGGTCACGTGCATGTCATTTACCTCGTCGAAGGCTCTCTGACGCAGATAACCACAGTGCGCACAAGTGGGCTTCACACGACCATGGGTCGTACGCAAGTGCAGAATAACTTTTTCATCCAGCAGTGCCGGAACGCGGACGAAACCGTGACGTTTCTTGCTCGTGTGCATGCGCGCTTGCTGTCAAACTTTCCGCCGGTGTCGGGATGTGTCAAGCCTGCAACCACGCACCTGCTGTCTAGAGGTGAGTTCACCTCGGACTCATTCACACGGGGATTTTGTCTCCCTCCTCAGACGTTTGCCCCGTTCAACTCTCTGTTTCGAAAGAAGAGTCAGTTCACCGTACACGACATTTTTCAGCGGATGCTTTTGCAAGCACCCGGACTAAGCGCTGCCAAGACGGTCAGTTTGTCAGCCAAGTACTCGAATTTTCGTGAGTTGGTAAGCGCTTTGCACAAACGTGGCCGAGATAGTGAGGTCGAGCACGTGCGTTGTGGGAAAACTCAACGTCGCCTTGGCTTGAAGACACGTGAGTTTCTCGGTGAGTTGTTGACTTGCAGTGAATACGCGGAAGATGCGTGATGGTATACATTCCTGCGTCGCTACAATCGTTTGTGATGTTGCGTGGTGACCCTGCATTGAGCCAGCTGTTGCCCAGGAGTCTTGACGGCACGAACTCAGCCTATTCTGGCATGACGCACACGCTTCAGAGCGCAGTTGACAAGGTCGCATTTGGCACTGAAGATCCCATCGATGCATCACTTTGTCGATATCGCGTGCAACATCACGTTTGGATCGATTGGATGCGCACTGTAATCGGATCTCGCGATCGTCGCTTCGTCAGGTCCGGAGGTCCACAGTACTGACAAGTTGGAGGAACTAGTCATCGCAGGGAATCTGAATGTATAGCGTGAAGACTTTATCCATCGTTGGTGTGCGTTAGTAGATACAACATGCAAGAAGCGATGCCGCATCCAGGCGTCGGTGCACATTTGGTCAGACTCGGCGGATAAGTAGATGTGTGACGGGTACGCGAGAGCAACATGTATAAACATTCTGGATTTTCACCTCCTGAACTTATGCTGCGAAGGCTGTCACAGTTGGCCCGTCATCGTTTGGCAACACGCCTTGACAAGTTGTAGAAAAGCAATTGTACGCGGTAATCACCGTCACGGTCCATGAGCTTAGGCCATGTAGTCGTGCAAGACATCTGTTAGCTATCTGATCCAAATGCTCGAGTGGCAGCCCTAGCTCAGGTGTACAAATATGCAAGTTCCTTTTGCATATTCATGCAAGTAAAGTGCTGGACGTCGTTCTTCGTTTTGAGTTTGTGACATACACGCCAGGACTATGGATCTACAAAGGCCAAGAGCTTCTCTCCCCATGTTCAATCCCCAGCCCATATTGCAGAAGATACAGCGTATGCCGAGATGCAAAAAGTGAAGCGCTGCGGGTATGTTTCTGCCAGACTTGTCGGATTTCTTGCGGAAGAAAAGAGCACCCAAACGCGCTAACGAATGTCTTCAGTAGGCGCTTCAACCTTGTCATCTCACGGTTGGCCTCTTCTTTTTACATGCCAATCGTCGAACGAGATTGGCATATTGTCCAGTGCAAAGTTCAACTTGCTGCAGACGGGCACGTACCCACAAGCACCTATCACTGCTTTCAACATTTGCCCCTTATCCTCGCCACGAGTTGCCACGCATTGAGCAACTGTCGAGAAGATTTTGCTTCTTGACAAGAAGAATTCAAGTCAAGCATCTGAAGCTGCATGTGGTACCCTCAACTTCACTTTGTGTCTCTTCATACTCGAATCAGCGAGGACACGTGCTTGTGTATGCAAATAGTAGAGATATACTTACAAGTATATTTCTGCCATTTGCATCGTCGCTCAAGCAGCCTGAGCAAGACATGACGTCATAATCTTTTGAATGAAGTCGATCGTGGGAAGCGTTCGTATAAGGTTAGCTAGTATCGAAGGTTGAGAAGAAGGGTCGGTCTTGCGATTCCTACGTAGTCGGGTGTAGAACTGCATAGCTCAATATCACTTCGCAATTTGCCTTCGAGCCAATACAACACCTACGGCCTTCCAACTCAGACCATTCTTATCCACACTCACCTCGTGGCATTTGTTGGTCTTCTTGCCAGGCTGCACCACTGCTAGAGTGATCTTTGTCGAAGTGCAAACAAAGTGACATTTCCTCTGCTTCCACATCTTTTGACTGCACCTCATTGCTCACTTTATGGGATAGAAAAGAAGAGTCGGAACCATAAGCGCGCCCTTTCCAAACCGAAGCAATGTCGGATGATCACGCAACACTTGACAAACTTCGAGATGATTTGTGGGCCACGACGCTTTAGCATCAAAAGCGTGTCAAAGTAATTGGTAATGAGATCTCATTCGTTCGACCTCAGAGCAAGCGATCGATGGCAGTCGATTACCAATTTCCATCTGCGCACATCATAAAAATTATCCGGTAGTACGGAGTCACGCGACATCACTCCGTTTGCTGTACCAGGACAATCACGTAGTCCACAACTAGATCATCGCTGAGATTAGCCTTTTCCTTATCTAGTTCTCGTGTAGTTAGCATTTCACTTTTTGAGCGAAGAAAGGCAGCCCGTGCAAACACTGCAAATGCTGAATTCTATGTGTGCTCGTTGATCCCGAGGAGCTGCGCATAACCCCAATGTCCTAGGAGCTGCCTGGTAAGCGATCACGCTGACTTCACATACGAAACATACGCATCCTTTGCATCAGTGAGAGGATGACGGGCAAGCACGTGTGCCTCATCCAGCACGCAAGCAGTCAACACTTCATGTTAACCTCTTTACCGACAAGAAGTTCCGTGATACTTCGTACTTTACGCCATGATTCGTCTCGATGGATACCTCTACTCACATCAGACCTAAGTGATGATAATTCATCTGTAGTGAGTGCACGTACAATCGTGGGACACGACCTAGCACACGCTGCTGATCCAACGGTGACTTTAGACGTCAAGACAGTCTCGAGTCATACAAGACTCACTGACTAGAACATACGATCTATAAGACGGTAATGGGACGTGCAGTTGCTGCTACGGATATGCACCGTGCGTTACTGTACGATTGGCAAATTATAATGAGTATGCTCAATGTACACGCACAATGATGGACGCGATACGCTTGGCATGACATGGATTGCTAGATGGAAAAGTCCGTAGTACTTGTACAATTGTAGTCATCTACTGTGCCACTTTGTTATGAGATCACTGTGGTCAATCTCAGGCTGATCGGGACCGCGAACTCACAATGTACTTTTGATCGCGGCTTGGATACATCGAGAGCTTGCAGTATTAATTTCACAGAGTTCAACGAGTTGATGCAAATCGATACTTCGACAGGACCGCAGAGGGTACATCTCGCGTGTATCGGTTGTTGGAAATCACAGCCCAGTAGCTAAAGCACGTGAAAGCGCAATGCGTTTATCGTTGTGTCACGTTGTTCAGGATGTCAGATGCGAGTATGCCAGCGCCTGAACCTTCGCTTTATACCGTGAGCAGCGCGAAATGCTTCTCCAGTGCAATATGCGCGTCATCACAGTCTACCGGTCTCTTCTGTCGCTTCATACGAGCAGTTGCAGTAAACTAGATCAAGAGGCGAATGACCGGCATCAAAAGGGGCTCACATGGTATCACGCGGAATCAGCAGCATGAGAGGTAGCGAGTGTACCGCCTGACGAGAGTTTCGAGCACGACAAGTTCTACACCTTCAAATGGCCTCAACAGTCTGGACAGTAGTTGTGTATCAGTGGCCTCTGGCTTTACGACGAGTTCCGTGTCATGAAACGCGGAAGGGGTCAGCCTGAACGTGAGTATCACTACCGTATAATCGATAACTACTTTGTAGCCTCAGTGCGTGCAGTCAAGTGCTCCATGCACCCTATCTGTAATCGTTTCAATGTTCATTCCGTGCATTAAACATACTGCCAATCTATACATGACTACCAGGTTAAACGTGGCCCTTCACCAACAATGCTTATCGATGTGTCCGCCTTTGCCAACGTGACCCCGTTGCTCGTGGTGACGATGGTCACTTCAGTTGTGGCACAAACTACTATATGTGTCTACGTGGAAACAGGCGTGTCTGTAGATGCTGGAGGGCCTTCGAGAGGCCCCACTATTGCAGCACCCACGCTATCATAGCTTGGAGCTGATGAGATCATGGACACAGCTTATTCCATCGAGGCTACTGGAAGCCTCGTGGAGTCTATCTGACTCGAATTCGAGGTCGAGTGCCAGAGCGAAGCGGGACCCGAAGTGGAAGACAAGTCACCGGTCATGGTCGCAGACCAAATGGAGTATCCTAGCAAGTCACCGACCTCTTCAGCAGCATGGCCACATCTGCGTATTTCAGCCCCGTGCTGGTGACAGCGTTGGCCGCCGGCTTGGACTTCGGGAACCAAATGAAGTCGGGATGGTTGCTGTCCGAGTCATACACCCACTCGCCCCCAATGATCAATCCGTTGCTATCCAGCTCGAGGAGATACGTGTAGTAGGCCCCCGTAGTGTACTTGTCAACCTGTCCCGAAGACACCAGACCACCGTTTACGTACGTCTCATAGATCCAGGACAGACGCATCTTGATGTACACGATGCTCTTGGTCGCAGCGTTCCACGGGTATGCCTCGAGGCCGTAGAAGGTCTTTGCAGCGTCCTGCAGGGACATTTTCGTCTGCTCGTACACTTTATAGCCGCGCACAGGCTGGTTCCACACCTCTGCTCCAGCCGTGATATCAACGACGAACGTCTGCTTGAGCTTGCCCAAGATGTTCGTAGTAGCAATGTGGAAGTAGGCCGGATTCAGGTCACGGTAGGCGGCATTCGAGTGACGACCGTACTTGTCCTCCGAGTCATGGCCGCCGTTGAACCGCGTGCCAGTGAAGACCGTGGGCACCGCTGCGCCGTCGTAGACGGTCGAGATCAGAGCTTTGATGTCGATCGGCTGGAACGTCACCCCATTATGTGTCACGGCACACCGCGGCTCCTCCTCGATCGTAGCAGCGGGTGCCCAGGCGTGGCAGATACCAAACCAAGTCGGGACGCAGTAGCCCACGTGTACTCCTGCACGCTTTGCGCACACGCTCTTGTCCGATAGAGACGAGCACTCGTTGTTCGACGAGCACCTGACACGATTGCGCATCGAGTCGACGCCGTTTTTGGCGGATATCTTGTTCATGAAGTCGTGGGCATTCAAGCCAAACGCCTTGGCGTACTTTTCAGCGGCACTTGGCTGTCCAGGGCTCCAGACGGCATTGATGCTGTCTTGGTACGTAGGCCAGTATGGACCAGGCCATGGCGAAGTCGCATGGACACCCGTAGCAGGCAGATTGTCCAGCTTCATCTCCATTCGTGTGCCGAAGTGAGCCTCGAGTTTTGCAATGTCGACGTTCGTATTCGCTTCGAGGTGCCGCTTGACCGCACTTTGTCCCTGTAGTTTGCGGCTCGAGGAGTCTTCCCATCCAGTCGCACAGTTGAGCTTGTCTTCGGGATCGTCGTCCTCCGTGAGTGGTGCAGTGGTAGTCGTGGTTGGGAACCCCGTCTTAAGCGAGACAGTAGATGATGTCGCGTTGAAGGCGGTGGTCGTGTACGCATCTTGGTCAGCTTCGAGCGTCGGAATCGCTTCAGACAGGACAGCAGTGCCAATCTTTGTCGACACTGCCTCCGCTGGAGCCGTCGTCATGTTCGCCAGCAGGTCCGTATAGATCACGGGGACTGTCGAGATGGTCGCGATATCAGGCATCGTCGGGTCCACCTCAACAGTAATGGAGCAGTCCTCGTCGGCCACCTCAGCGCCTCGGGCTGGAAATTTGCTGCTGATCTCATCCGTTGTGTTGGCTGTAGTCACGGGGCCGTAGTAGAGCGACGTAGCCGTAGTCGGCTCGAGCTGCACGGCCATAAGGGCCACACTTGCCACGAGGAGATACCGATGCACCGCGTAGACCATGTTAGAGGAGCGGGAAAGCGAGAGTCGAGTAAGTTTCTCGGAGCGAGAAAGTTGGGGAATGACAGCCGAGTTATGCGGTCCAGCTCCTGAGACTAGACTTCTTGCTCGTCGGACGTACGTCTTGACTGCTGGACGTCGCCTCCACGAGCAGTTAGTATCGTGAGCACCTTCAGCTCTGTTGCCTATAATGTATCCTAGCGAGATACGGACCCGCAGTCATGGTGACTTGCGCCTATAGCACTAGTTTTCGCGGGAGTTTCGGCCATGTTGAAGTGGTTCGGTCGCACGATGCGACGAAACGGTACAGTGGTTCATGGCGTGCCTAAAAGAATCAAGACGTGCCACGAGTTGGATCGCAAGTAGTCGCACCAAATCGATGATGTTTTAGGTCAAATGAGTGTGCCTGTCGAGGGACCAAGTAACACTCGCTCGCTCCTGCTCGATAAGAGACTGATTCGATGTAAGACATTCAGCTGCAATATCGATAAACGGGAAGTCACACTGCGTTGCCGTTTCAACCGATTCGGACCGCACCAAAGTGTACGAACAAAGGCGTTTCGCTCTTTTTGTTCCAACCGCCGACTTGCGCTGTTGCATGCGCTGGAAAAGTGCTAGAAATAACGATGTCAGCATTACCGTTTTGCCAGCAAGTGGTAAACCGTTTCCGATGCGTGTGCCATTCTGCACCTCCATGTCAGCTCTACTGAAGGTGCAAGGATTGACACGCGTTCTTGGCTTGCCGAGAGCGGCAAACGTGAACGAGAGTCGACGCGTCAAATGCCAGCTGTGGTGCGATTTAGCGCAAATACGAGTTTACGGTGTCATGCGATCTTCGGTATCCGCAAATGCGGCTGGTTGTCGCGGCGACTGTGGCTGCAGTTGTAGCGCTTACCGTGATGATTGACGCAACGTTACATGGACAAACACTAGAATGTGTATAGCTTGTGAGTTCATTGAGGTATTCCTTGCCCACTTCCGCTAGAAGAGCAACAGGGGGCTACTAGATCGGAGACGGTCAGCCCATTTTGTGTGTGATTCGTGTGCTACGCGGCGCTAGGAGCGTTCAACCAAATATACCGTCAGGTACCTGATGCCGCTAACGATCATTTGTCAAGCTTTTTCTTTTATCAACGGGAATGTTTGCACCTCCGACCATTATTCTAGCGCAACGATTTCGCAACACCGAGCGATTGCAAGATGTATTCCCTCTAAAGAATGATTTTATCGACGCGCAGGACTTTTGTAATATAAGAATCAAAAATGACATCATCTTGCGAACCTAATCACCTCTTAGAGTGCATTAACGACAAGTAGCATCTACCTCCAAAGCAGCATACTTGCTAATCGCACATATTATAGAGGATCTTAGTGACGACGCTAAATCGGAGGCGCAAACAGGCGTTTGTGGACGCGGACCAAACTATCGCATATTTCGTGTGGCACACAGTGCTTGGGCACACTTCATGACTAAATGAAGCAGGTCTGCCCCAAATGGGAGAAGAATGGAAAAAGACACCAAGTCTGATTAACTCGCACCCTTTTGCTCGCTCATTTATGGTTTTTTATTACCCTAGTCTGTCCCTCCATTCTATCGCATTTGTAGGCGATGGGACACATGATCTTTCGTTTCAAACACTGCACATTTTGCCACAAATCACACAGTCGCTTGTCAATCTCTGTTGGCTACATGTTCTTCATCTTAGAAATTGTATATTCGAACCTGCAATCGGCGCCTCGAATTCGGTTCCCAACGAATCTGGCTCAAGCTGAAGACGAGGCTATAGAGGGCGACGAAGCAGAGCCCGAGACCCGCCATGACCTCGACAAACGGTCCCAAGTAACCTTCGGTATGCCGATGTGGCTGACAAGTGCATTCATGAAGTATCGTATACATGCTGAAAATCGCCCTTGATTCGACCTCTTGATCAGCATCAGACCGCCTTGTAGCGACCGAGTTCGACATAAAACGAATGCGTGGGGGGGGTCGTCGCTAGACTCATATAGTGACGAGTATGTTATCCGTATAAACACATTGGAAGAGGCACCTGTCGGATTCAGACATGGACGTCCGCTTGTGTACTTCTCGCGGATCCTCGGTGGTCAAGTCTTGACGTATACAACGTTCTTAGTAAATGTGTTTTACGGGTGGGATAAAGGCGCGCGGGGTCTCTTTCGGAGACAATCTAGCGAGTGAGACGATGAGGTGTATTCAGACATGATAGCGATCCGCCGTATCCTACCCGAGATAGCTCCCAGCGTGCTTGTGCAGCTTCCAGTGGCTTTTGCTTTTACAAAGAGACGCGAACGTAGTATCGCGGTTTATACACGATGTTGACGATAGCATTGCAGAACACGATACGATTTTCGACCATGGTGAGATGCATTTTCGTATGCCTCGCTCCTGGAATGTGTCACTTCCACTGTCATTGCTCACATGCCGGTACATTCGGTCCGTCGTGGTCAGGAGCAGCGCGTGTAGTGCATGGCGAGAGTGTAACGCCAACCGAGCCCTTTGGTTTTGGCTCAGTCACAGAAAGACTACGACCATGCGTGACAGATACCGTCCAAGTCGTGCGACGTTTCTCAGCGATTGCAAATCCGCGACTACCATCGCAGCGATCGAAAGTAGTGGCGCAGCGATTGTTTGGTGATCACATGATGCACCTTTCGTTGCCGCGTGACGCTATTTCCAATCCATGACATTCGAGATGTAAGTCATAGCAGTAAGAAGTCAGGCCGCACAATTGGTGATGAAAAACAATGCTAGTTTGTCCAAGATGGGCGAGACGCGAGGGAGAGCAAGTGTACTTGGAGGAGGGGGTGGTCCAACCATGCCAAGCTACTATTCGCGCACAAGTGATCTGAGCGGAGAATCAAGGGCCCACCTCCTGTATCAAACCATACGTGACCCTTTGTGGTAGTCGCAGACGTAGATCTCAGGATGTGTTTCGATCGTAACTTCAGTCTCAAGATAGTTGTAGAGCACCCGTGTTCAACGTAACGACACGTATGGCGTGCGAGATGGTCAGAATCGGTGCTGATCGAGTGCTGGACAAGGAGCGAGACAGGTTGCCAGCAACTTGTGCACGAATGGAGTTGACTGACACAAATTACTTCGTCCGTGCGTTGATGAAAAAGAAAGCCAACAGACCCGTGTCGTTTTTCGGCGTGCCCGTGTTTTCCAATGATAACAGCAGTATCGGCCAATCTGAACAGCATCAGAGGCATTGCCAAATTTTTGAACGGCATTCTCTTGCATCGCTGTTTTCAGCTTTGTTGAGACATTGGGGTAGTTGTTTGCAGGACAGCTGACTGAATGGACGCAAGTTCCCTCAAAGAAGTCAAAAATCATTGCTTGTTTATGCTGTTTTCTACATGCTAAGAAGTGCGCTACGTACGGGTTTGTGTAAACGACCAGGAGAGCAGGTACAGTAGATGAGGCAGTGAAAAGCACACGAGCGCGTGCTCAGCACAGAGCCGTCACTACATTTGTTGGAAAGTAAGACATGAATGCATTGTAGCGTCTCGGTGGCCATCGTTCCGCTCGAAAGCACAGTCGCGCATCGCATCCGATACCAAAGTCCAGATGGACGCCGACGCTACAGTAAAAGACGTTGATCACGAATCGGCTCAGTCCGTCGACTCCGAGTCGAGGGTTGACAACGATTACTGGCCAATGCACGCGATCGACTTTTCCAAAAGCATGATCAAGTCGGAGTAACTCAGACCCGACGAGGTGACCACGTCAAGCGCCGGCTTTGCCTTGGGGAACCACAAGAAGTCGGGGTGGATGTCGTTTGATTCGTACAACCACTCGCCACCAATGATGTTTCCGTCTCCGTCGATCTCAAGCAGGTATATGTAGTACTCACCCGAGGTGTACTTGTCCAACATACCGGGAGTCTCCAACATGCTGCCCTCTTCGTTCGACTCACTGACCCACGACAGGCGCATCTTGATGTACACAATGCTCTTGGCAGCAGCGTTCCACGGGTACTTCTCGAGGCCGTAAAACGTCTGGGCAGCCTCCTCCAGCGTCATATTAGTCTGCTCGTAGATTTTGTAGCCACGCACGGGCTGGTTCCACACCTCTCCGTTCGCCGACTTGTCAACCACAAACGAGTGGTGGAAGATGCCCAAGATGTTGGCAGCAGCAATGTGGAACATGGCAGGATTGAGGTCACGGTAGGCGGGACTCGTGTGACGACCGTACTCGTCCTTCGAGTCGGGTTCGCTGTAGTACCGAGTACCAATGAGAACCATGGGCACACGCGACTCATCGTACAGCGTTGTCAGCAGCCCCTTGATGTCAAGTGGCGTGAACGTGATGCCGTTGTAGATCACAGGACACCGCGGCTCTTCCTCCATGATGGAACAGGGTGCCCAGGCGTGACACGCCCCGTTCCAATTTGCAATGCAGAAGCCCTGGGTCGTCGGGGCACGGCGAGCGCAACTAACGTCAGGACCGTAGTTGGTCGTGCAAAAGCTTGCCTCTTCGCAGAAGACTTTGGATGGCGCGCCGTCAATGCCAAGCGAGAGCGAGACCCCATCCTGGACAGTCTTCACGTCCAGACCAAACGCCTTGGCGTACTTCTCGGACGGACTCATGAGGATCTCCCTCGTCCAGTTGACATTGATGTTGTCGCCACCCATGGCCCAGTACGGACCCGGCCAAGGCGCGTGTGTTTTCGACCCTTCCATCGGCAGGTCTGCCAGCTTGGTCACCATTGGTTTGCCAAAGTGATTGGCCAGTTGAGTCAGGGGTCGGCTGGTGTGAATTTCCTCGAGCCGGCGATTCTTCTTCGAGTCCTCGTCCTCCTGCTTGGTCTTCTCCCATCCAGTGGCACAGTCGGATGCGTTCTTCGCCGCACCGTGCGCCAAGTCCAACAACGGCGTCTTCGCAACGACAGCAGGCAACGTCCCCGCCGCCAACTCCATCTCGTCAATGTAGCCGTCATGGTTGGCGTCCAGCGATGGCAGGGGACGGGACAGCACGCCCGTGCCGACCTTGGTCGACACCGGCTCGACCGGGCCCACCGAGGCTTTTCCCAGCAAGTCCGGGTACTGCACAGGCACAGACGAAATGGACGTAATGTCCGGCAGCGTCGGGTCCACGTGCACCGTGTAGGCCAAGTCTTCCTTGGGCATTTCCACACCACGCCCGGGGAACTTGCTCCCCATCTCGTCCGTCGCGTTGGTGGCCATTTCCGGGTCGTAGTACATTGACGTAGCTGCCGTCTGCTGCATCTTCGTGATCACGAGGGCTACGGCCGCCGTGACGAGGTAGGCGCTGGGCGTGTACACCATGGCAGCAGAAGACCTTTGGGTAGGTAGGTGGTGGGGGGGGTAGTGGGGGGAAGAAGTAGTAATCTCCTGGGGAGGAAGGAGGAGATTGGAAAATGAATGCACACCGACACGGGCTGAAAACGAGGCGCGGACGTTCGTTCATTGTTTGCTCCCCCTCGACATTCAACGTGCGTGTGGCGCGTCGTAGGTTCACGATCCACGTTGGGCGATCTCGTGTGGTTGTATGGTTAGAGAGTCGAGCTTTGCCTCGGATGGGAAAGCCGAGCGTGGCCACAAGCAGGCAAAGGCACGACGACCTCACGACCGTCGATGATGGTTGAGGCTGGACACCAAGTGCACGCCCGGCATTGGGTTTTCGCATACCACAACCGAAAAGGAGCGGGTCCGGTCGGGGAAACGTTCGGAGGAGACGAACTAGATGGGGAGTCATGTGCTGATTCAACCACGCAGGAGGGACACGGCCACGCGAGAGTATCCTTTACACAAGCACGCGAAGAGGCTGGGCTCCCATCCACGGGCTCCTCGCACTTTCGCACGTGCGTCGCACGTAACGTGAGTAATGGACTGCTGTGTCGGGTTTGCGGCAGGTACGACATGTGCGGCAGACTGGACGTTGAGCTGCCTCTTTGCGGTGTGTGTGTGTATCCTATCGAGTTTACGCTATCAGATGTGTGCTCGAACGGCCGAACGGCACGACACGCACAGAGAGTGCGTGGGACCTTTCAATCTGTCCCAAGTCCATCTGCTTTCTCTGGCTTGGAGCCCCTCCCTATGGTGTCGAGTTTCGGTGAAACACAAGGACATTGACGCCGACGTCTTTGATGGGGGCGCTCGTGTCTACGTTCTGCTGGATTTTGCCGAGGACGCGCTTGTCCACAGCCATTTGATTCTGTGTACCAGTTGTCACATACGGTACGCTGGCGTCGCGTCGTCTGAACGAGGACCACGTTTTGTGGGCATCGTGTGGAAAGCTACGAAGTCTATCGGGAAACGATCTGTGAGACGCTACCACTAGTCCACCTGTAGTGAAAGCGCTCTGAACCGAAGACCCAGTTATGTCCAGCAGACCCTTCCACCTGATCAGGTTAGCAAGGCGCCAACATCGAACTCACTGTAGTATCTGCACTGTCCATCGTGGCGAGCGTCAGCTTGTGGGGACAGGATACCTACCACTACAAACGTCGACTTGCGTCGCTTGGGCAAGATGCATGCAACGTTACTTGTAGATGCCATTGCGAAGAGATAGTAGCGAAGCAAGTGCGGGCTGCCTCGAAATGTGCGTTATTTGTGCAAAAGAGCCAAACTCTTGTCATTCTTTTCTTGACCAAGTGCTGGTGGAATGAAACGCATCGTATGCTGGCTATAAAAATTACCCGAGCTAGAGGCTCAGTAATATCGGTTGTAATCAGCTGCTAGATGAGTCAGATAGCGCCACGGAAACGCATGTACATCAGCAGGCACTTTGGAAGAGTAGACTCGCGCCTCAACCGTGCGATCGTTCCTTGGTAGCGGAACGAGATCTTCACCAAAGGACCCCCCTCAACATCGGATGTCGTATCAATTCACGTAGCGGAGTATCATGCACTCTCAGAGGTGTTGTGCTCCGACAGGTTACTCTTGCCAGGACGCATTTAGTAGCGCCAATATTCTCGGGCGGTAGCAGTACATATTGAACGTTACTACGACCTTGCTTTGGTCGCAGAGAGCATTGGCCCGGTAGTCGCTCGACTAGAACTCAACGCATAACCAAGCCGTTGAGGGAACCTCAAGGTCAGCAAAGGTGCGGCTTTGTCAAACAGGCGGTAGGTGTTTAGGATTGATGAGCTGACGGTGCGCCAAGTGTCTTTGTTTTGATGTAGCAACTACATGCAGACATGTCACATGGTAGAATCGAGCCGGGAAGCGAATCAATTGGACATTGGTAAGTAGCCGGTAGTCGCGTCAATTTCCCCGGGTAAAAGTTAATGTATCTGAGCTTTGTCTTGCTTGACAGGCTCGGCAAACGAAAAGTACTTTTGTAGCTGCTTGGTGATATATAAGCCCCTCTATAGGCTGCAATGCGTATTGTCTTGAGAAACAAGGCCATCGAACGTTGAATTATATCGGATAGCCATCTGTGAAATCGGTCAAAATGAAACCGGCAGGTTTTGAAGCGTGACGTGTAACAAGGCACTGCTTACTTCATACTGGAACACCAGTACGGAGTTAACTCTCACTGACAATAGTGAAGGTCAGTGCCCTGCTGGGTATTGACACTATACCGAGGAAGGGTAAATAGCTACGACAAGACTCTAGTTGTAGAAAAGTAAAACTGTTATTTATTACTATTCAGTCCTAAAACTTTTGTTCTCTGTTTCGACCTAACTTAATTACATTAATATAACTAAACAAATGATGACGTCTACTCACCACCCATTGCGCGCGTCTAGCAGCGATTGGCGGGTTGATATAATCACAACATCAACCAACGAGTAGACCTTTGAGTCATCTCAACTATATCACTATGACTCGTGATGTTGTTATAAGAATATTCAACTTCAATTCTTTATTATCGTTTCGCGCAATGGCAATTTCAAGTAACGGGCTACCCCGTTACATGACGCATCTTAACCAGGTCGTAGCTATGCTGATATTGTTGAATGCCGTGATTTTTGACAGTGCGGTCATTCAAAAACTGATACAGCAAGGTGTTGTACACTCAGCAGGCCAACCTTGATGGCACCATGAAAAGAAACTTGAGTAACGCATGAGATCGCTCCTAAAGGGAGTGATCGAAGTCTTGCAAAATACACAGCAAATATATTTAGGTCCTTAGTTCACAACCTCCTGTTGCTACTCTAAGCCTACTGGATTTTCTCTGACTCTACGTTAGTAATCGTCTTGTCGCGCATTACTAATCGTTCAGTCGTACGTTTCTAATGCAGACAGTGTGTTTCTAACAAACACTGAAACGTCCGAAACATGGGGGACTTCACTGTCTGGCCGGACAGTGCTGGCGAACCCCGGCACACCATAACCCGAAGGTTTCAATTTCCATTGTAGTCACTGGATATCGAACCAGTGACCTTGCGCATGGTGCTGCCACACCGTACCACTTGAGCTACAAGCTCAAAGACATGCCGAGGCGCACTTCTAATAACACGTGTGTACTGACAAAACAGTTGTCGACTAGATTTGCTGTGCGCTTTCATGGGAAATGCTACCTTCGAAAAGTGCAAGATTGTGGGGCACACAGCGAGTGCGATTCTTTTCCGAAAACTGTCGGCTTCGGTGGAAACATGCGTGACATCTGAACTTTTGCTCTTGCGTCAATACTTTTATTAAGGAGACCACGAGAAAGCCGTTCTTGCATATACGCAACGTAACCAAAGCACAAGCATAGGTATGTTGTCGACGCTTAGCATCTCCTCGGAATCCAACCTCTGGAAATCACACGGTGTAACGGGGTACACAACATGTGAGTGGTTTACACCAGGGACGAAGTCTTGCAGAAGATGATACTCGAACATCATATCAGTTGTTGGGTGCTGACGTGTGTCAGTCACCAAAAACACGAGACCATAGAAGAGTCATTAACTAGAACATTAGTGTCTCGATTAAGTACGGTAGTATGAAGTGGTCTTTTAAATAAACAGAATAAAGTTCAGCTCCCCTTTTGATCCTCGTAAGACGCGTGTCTTCCTAAGGCGTCTTGAAATAGTGAAGATTCTAGCAAACGCCTCGTCAGGGCATCTACGCTTGAGCACTCTGTGCTGTACTTCTTTGCATCGTTTGGTACCGTGGAAGAAGGACCGTAATCTCTCTGGTTTTGTTAATTTTTGGAGTCGAGTTCTTTGAACTAAGTTAATCTTTGAGCGTTAAATTCTACCTCTGACCTAAGGAGATGTGCAGCTCTGCTACACTTGGTAGCAAGACTAGTCAATCTATGCCTCATACAGTTTAACCTGATCCTCTGTGAGGATGAAACAACTCACACCGCTCACTGAAACGAAAGGTCGATCTTGAAAAGCTGACTGAGGCCGTCGGGTCTGCGTATGTTGAGTTACCAGCTGCACAAGGTCCCGATGGGCTAAGCACAAGTGTCGAATCCATCATGCAGTATACAACGACCCCAATAGGGCAGGTCCAAGACCAAATTGCGTCGGCTATGCCCACACGCTTCGTGCACATGACAGACGATACGGCTAAGCATCAAACATTCAAGTTGGACATTAAACCAAACTCCGGTAAAGAGGAGAAGAATTTCATCCTCTGTATCCGCGACGTAGGGATCGCCCATAGGTCGATTTGATACGAACCGAGTATCAGAGGGTCGCGGTGGCGATCAACAATCTCGCTGGTAAAGCGAGGGAGTGGGCACTCACGTGCATTCAGTCCATCGATGACGCCTTCTTCATGTGGGAGAGTTTTAAGTTTCAGCTTATTCACACATTTGTGCCGCCTGCCAGTCATATCGCGTGCTATCACGCTTCCTCTCTACCCACCTGGACAAAAATGAGCTGTCGGACTACGTCCAAGAGTTGGGGACACTCATTGATGCTATGCAGAGCATTCCTCTTCTAGAGGTAGTCCATAAAAAGTTTATATGGAAGGGCGTCGTTCTGGACCTGACAAAATTTAAGTCTTCCGCGTCTACCCATCGAACTTAAAATGGGCGGTCGAAAAAGCGCATAACGCGGGTTAAAACTTAAAGCTTTCTAAGCTGAAGAAAATGGGTACAACCCGAGCTCTACCATGGCAATCTCCATGAGCACTTCAGCGTCATCTAGACCTGAACCTTTAGATCTCAACAATGTTGAGGGTGACAGTGAAGTTGAAGCGGAACTTCAAGTTGCTGAACAATTACGCGTCATCCGTCGTTGCTATACGTGCGGAAGAATTAACCATTTGCGCTTAGACACCGATTGCTCAAGCAGCGCCAGGCCCACATGGGTCAAATCCCGACCAACAGCCAGAAGTTTGGTAAGGCACGGTAAAATTTAAACTTCCAGTGGTTGGGG